CTGCAAAGTGCCTCACTCCAGGTGTCTCTTCCTCACAAGGAGACAGGGTGGTGCCAGTAGGCACCCAACCAGAGGAAGAACCACATACTAGTCCCAATTCCAGTCTCTTACGAGAAGCATGTGGTTCAGTTACCATTAATTGTAGTAGAAGGCTCAGGCACAAGCCTAATGGGACGAAATTGGTTGAGAAAGGTCCAACTAGATTGGAGCAACATTTTTGATTAGAAAATGGCCACCTGAGTGAAGTCCTAATTAAATACCCGGAGAATTTTCAGGAAGGCCGAGGGGCTATCAAAGGAGCCAAGGCCATAGTGCATGTTGACCAGGAAGCAATTCCACAATTCTGCAAGGCCTGCCCAATGCCATTTGCCTACGGGTAAAGGTAGAGGCCGAAATCAGAAGGCTGGAAAGTGAAGGAATCATCAAGCCAGTTCAGTTTATGGAATAGGCAGCCCTGGTCATACCGATTATGAAGCCTGACGGTTTGGTTCACCTTTGTGGGGATTTTAAACAGATAGTAATCTGCTTTCCACAGCTGGACAAATACTCAATCTCTCGCATAGTGGATTTATACGCAAAGCAGATGGGCGACTGTCCTTCACGAAGCTGGACGTAAGCCAAGCATACTTGAAATTGTAGCTAGCTGAGGATTCCCAGAAGTATGTTATAATTAATACACACAAGGGGTATTAATATACCAATATTCGAGACTGCCATTTGGGGTATCGTCAACCTGTGCAGTTTTTCAGTGGAAGGGGCACCTGACCTGAAACGTTAACTCTGATTTCTCTCCACAAATGCTGCCAGACCTGTTGAGGTTTTCCAGCAATTTCTGATTTTGTTTCTGATTTACAGCATCCACAGTTCTTTCAGTTTTTATTGTCAGACATCCTGTTCATTCTGGGAGCTGGCTCTGAGGAAGTTGGATCAGTGGCAAGGATTCTCTACGTATATATAAAAGGTGACTTGGTGACAGGATACCGACCTCTGTGGAGTTATTTCAGTTATCATATCCTTTATAAAAGAAACCAACATTTTCCCTTCTGCTGATGTTAGGCTAACCAGTCTAACTGTTGGTTTTCACCCTCCCTCCTTTTTTAAACAGTGGGATTATATTTGCCACCTTACAATATGTCGGACTGTTCCAGAATATACAGAGTTTAGGAAGATGACAGCCCAATCCACCAACTATTTCTATAACCACCTCCTCTGGTACCCTGGCATGTAAATTATCAGGTGCTGGGGATTTATCAGCTTTCAGTTCCATTCAGTTCTCCAGCATCCTTTTTCACTAATGCTAGTTTACTTCAATTCCTCCTTCCTAAAGGACTCTTGCTTTCGTAGCACATCTTGGAATTTTTTGTACCTTCTACTGCGAAGATAGAGCTGAAATAGTTGCTTAATTGCTCAGCTGTTTCCATTATCCATTCTCATGATTCAGACAGTAAGAAATCTACAACAACAACAACAACAACAACA